TTAATCCTAGGTGGACTATTAAACTGAAGTGGTCTTGGTGCCTATAGTGGTCCTTTAACAGTTCATATGCGTTGACAGCACCCCTTGTAAACCAGTGTGTTAGGTGGCTGCCTATTGGTTATTGTCTACTTGTGAGTCAGTCCTACCTCACTGGGTGTAGCTATTTGTATGTTTAACTTCTTGACGGTTCAGCTCATTTCTTTAAAATATCTTACTCAATTGTTACCTAATAGAGTACACAGGTATAAACCCGGTCTAGACAATACACAGTGCAAGGTTTTTACTAAACTTTACCAAACTTGGAATTGCAAATCCTCGGACAAACTACCAAATCCAAAAACATTTTTAACATTTTAAAATTTCTAGAGCAGCTATTTGGGGTACAAAATGTCCAATGATTAACCTTCTACATGCAGCTCAATACAGGACCAAGTGCTAGTGACTTTAACAACATAAACCCAAATATTCTGACAATAATTGAACTTAATAATGTAATTACAGATTCTGGTGAAAGTTTGATCCTTATTGCATTGTATCCAATGCTTTTAGACTTGTTCTATATGTTCTCACAGCCATAACAACGTTGCAAAGTCGGCCATCAGTTGTGCGAAATAGAAGCATATCTATTTTTGAGCACAGAACAATAGCATAATGCACATGTTCTGCTGACAATAAAACAGAACACTAACATCAAATACAAGCCTTGCAGGTCTGATGTGCAGGTTTTTGAGAAGTTAGGTACACAGTAATGAGACAAGTATAGTTTTGAAAAAGACAAAAAAAAAAAAAGATATATGTTGCCACTGGGTGTTCATTGTGACAAAAGTGTTTTAACGGCATATAAAAAAGTGGTTTTGTTCAGACTTCAGAGTGAATCCTTGACCCAATGTTAACATTTACAATACAATACAGATTGACATTTAACTGGCCAGGTAGAAAATTTATCCTACGATAATAAATAAAGGGACAATATAGGCATCCAGACTACTTCAGCTCATTGATGTGGTCTGGGTGCAGTGCCCCTGTCAGTTTAACCCTGAAATGGTAATTATTGCAGTTCTTGATAAACTGAAATAATTACCAGACAGCAACTAGAGGCACTTCCGGGTCGTTAAGTGACTTTTGGTTGCCTAACTGACGCTAGACATCCTCACGCTTGGCATCCAGCATCAGCTAAAACCCTATAGGAAAGCATTGATTCAATGCTTTCGGATGGGGTTGTCCTAATGCGATAGCGGCAATCACCACGAATGCGCGTAAGGTTCCTGCCGTCGGCCGAGGGGGAGCAGAGGCAGAACCTGACCCAGCACCGAAGGACATCCTTGCTGGATTCAGGTATGTAAACGAAAGGTTTCTAACCCTTTCTGTGCATTGGGTGGGGGGCACGAGTAAGGGTGGCACAATTTGTATTCCTAGCCTATAGTTTCATTTTAAAGTTGATTTGTTAATATTTTAAGGAGGTAACTTATGATCTATTTATTTTATTGTGTTTATTTTTGTTGTACATTTTGAGATTTATTGATTAATAATTTTATTGTGACAAAGTTTAACCTGAAAATCACAATGCAGAGTAACAATTGCTCCCTAACAACACCTATACTTCAGTTTATGGCTCCATAATTGCTTGGATAATTAATTAACTTTAGAATTAGCCTTTCAAGAACAAAATGTCTGAAGAACAGTAGGTGATGGAATAAGAAATCCATCATCTCTGGCTGTTCTTAAAAGTTCAAGTGTCAGATATATCATACAGGACAAGGATGCTTCAGTAAACCCAGCGGTCCAAGTTTTGTCATTTTCTGAAACAGAACTGGTAAAATTCCAAACCTTGATCTGAGCATGGCAAAGGATTTGGGAATAACTTATTTTAGGAACTATCTACTGCATAGAAATGTAGTTGGAGGGTGATTAAAATGGTTATATTAATTTTATGATTATACATAATATCAGTGTGTGTTTGAACACAAATTACCGACAGTAACCATGGATAATGGGTAGTGTGGTTTGGATCCATTGATTTAAGGCACAATTTATTGAACGAATGTTTTACACTTACTAAAGTGAGAATTGTCGGGAATTCAAGGTGAATTTGAAATTTAATGCTAAATTTTGAAATTTGCTATTTAAAATAAAATAAAGCATTGCTGATTTGGAAAATTATTTCAGTTCCGCTATTTTGTCCTTTTGAATTGACTTTAAATTAGATCTGAATTCCCAGCAATTCTCACTGTGTTAAATAACCCTGAACAGTCGTCTTAAAATGTAAAATTAATTTATTAAAGGTACTTACTTGGGCAAAGCATAAAGAGACTTGAAAGTGGAACTGCCACTATCGGGGGTCTTTGAATACCTTACAAAGACCCCAAAAGAGACATTTCTGGTGATGGTCAAGTGGCCTGGGAAGGTAGTTGTACTTACCTGAAGTTGTCCCTCACAGTTGCTCCAAACTTTGCTCTGCAAATCCTCTTCAGCTGTCTTTATCTGCCAGGAGCCGTGTTACTGCGGTACTCTCATGCATGCATGTCTATGGATTATCCCGTGAGACTGCAGGAACCTCACTTGTGATGGCTGCTGGGATTGGACAAAGGTTGATGGTGGAGTTCTGCCATTTGTCAACTTTTGGCAACCTCAGATTTACCATAAGACAAAATCCCTACCTTGTTTTATGGTATCTGTGGATGTCAGTGAATTCAGGATCAGTTTTTCAGAAAAATTGGATGTTTATGAAATACTGAAAAGTGACAGAGTCTTTTTAAGCGCTTTGTGAGACATATTAGTAAATGGGGCATTTATCTATCCGTCTATCTAATCTCTATCTAATCTATGTAATCACTTATTTAATCACTTAGATTTGGATAGAAGCACAATGAAAGTAACGTTATAATATAGTAATAAAGTATTTTTTCTAGAACGTCAGCGATCCTTTCTTTCTCGGTGTTACGTTGCTTCTTTATATGTTTTTTTTATATTTCTTATTAGCCGTAATGTGGTTATTTTAATTAATTCAGTTTTATTCAGTAGCCATTGTCAGGCAGACAGGCGGAACGCACACAGCTTCTCAACAAGAAAAATAACATACCTCACTTTCAGCTATGAGAGTCATGTCTTTAAAGTTTAATATATTAGCGATTTGCACTGAAGAAAAAATAGCACATTTAACAGCTTTTGTTCTTAATCAGTTCTTTCCTGAGACTCTAAAGTCGTCCTGATTGACAAGTTTTATCCTTATTCTGCAACAATTTGACATTTAAACATTTAAATCTTGACTCGTTAAAGTAAAAAAAAGACCAAAATGCAACTATAAAGCATTAAAATGAATCAAGCGGTTTGCTGTATGTCTGTAGTATGGAATGGGGACCCTCATACTTGGAATACACTGATAGTTTTTACATCAGCAAATGTGGTTTCATCATGGTGTTTTTGAATGGATATATGAAGACTGTATTATCTTTTATTTCCAGACATGAGCCTCTTTACCAATATTCTAAATGAATACTGAACTAGCTAGACCAGTCATGAACACATATTGAGGACTTAGAGTTTGTTGTAATGGGTTCCATTGCCTAACGAAGAGTATACCACAAGCGTTTAAAGACTGAGACTAGGCAGGAATTTTTGACATTACGTTTACTTATTCCTGATTTAATAAATATGTATTTTTGAGGGGTGAAAAATGTAATTAAAGGAACACTATAGCATTAGAAAAACAAAAACAACCATGTATTCCTAATGCTCTAATGTTCTCCTATTTAGGTGAAGCCTACTCCCCACGAGGGTATACAAGCAGTTAAACCTACTTTTTCCCATGATGCTCCCGTCTCCAGCTCTGCCTCTGTGGCTAAAATAATCAATTTTGATGTTCTCTGCCAATCCAATGCTTCCCCATTGCAAATCGCCACACTGCGCTAATCAGCATCTCCTCATAGAAATGCATTGACTCAATGCTCTATGAGGAGCTTTCAGAGTTTTCATGCAGAAGGTGGAGACACCAAAGAGAGGTCCGACAAAGATTGTAGGACCTTATTCAGGAAGTTCTTACAGAGGGCGACTTTTGCAGCATTGTAAACAATGTCTTTTCTCAGATACGCAACGTTTATACTGCTGAGGCTTCTGGGATAGGCTCTATGCACCAGAACCACTACATTGACCTGTGACTGGGTGCCTCCGTATTAGTACAAACCATTATTAGTATCTTTGGCCTTTGCATCTGGTAGTCAGCATAGAGAAAGCATACAGACAAGTGGAAGAATGTAACAATATTTTTGTTTCTCATTTTCATTTGCAATTTTTGCCCTGAGTTTGCCTTATCTGAACTGGATTATGATGTCATTTCCTAAATCTTTAATATAAATTTTAAAAACAAAAAAACAGGGCTTCTTATGAAAAAGTTAAGAAAAATGAACAGTGATTTTATCTTGTGCTTTGTGAATTAAAATGTAATTACACTCACAGTAGGTTCTAGCAGATTATTAACAGAGCAGGAGATAAGATATTCTAAATTAAACAGACTGTGAAATAAAGGATGTTTAAAGATTATGTCTCTCTTTACTGTAAATGTTCAGTGAGACTGTTGGTGACATGCAGGGGTGGTTAGGCACAGGTTGCATGAACAAAGTGAATTAACCTGCAAATGGCAGATAATTGAGCAATTAGTACTGTAGAGGCATGATCCATACAGTAAAATTGTTCCAATGCTAAAGTTTAATGTCTGTGATAAAGTTAGTGTAATACAAACTCAGTTTCTTTTAAATCTCCATACACTGAGTATTAGAAGAATGTTGTTTGTTTATACTTGTTTCCATGCCAACTGCAACCAGCATCACTGGGTAAGGGTGTATGACATCATAGAAGGTTGGAACCCTGCGTTAGAACCTGCTTGCTGGCTATGTTCCATCTGCTCATTTCTTGGATTGCCAAGCTGTGAGCGAGACTAACCTTAGCGTCTTCAAGCCGTTATTGCTATATTTTAATTGAGAGCTCCAAAAGAGTTATCAATAGAGATGAACAGAAAGCCCTGCTTCAAGCACAAGCCATTGGGTGAAATTCCTCTGGAAGTCAGTCCATTAAAAGGAAAACCTTTTACAAACACAGAGATGCCAAAGCCAGACTTCATCATCATGTGCAAAAAGATTTGTGACCCTCTGGTCCAGGAGGCAAAGATAATTTCCACCACCAACAGTAGTACCTCCATCAAGGATTTGCACCATCCATTGCCACCACTGTCTTCCAGCCTCCATGATGAGATGGGGACATCACTGAAGAAAAGCGTCCATATCATGGAGAAAGGCACTGGAAATGGACTTAAAAGAAATAAAATGAACTTTCCTTGCAACAAGTATACCAAACCAGTTTGCAAGGAGAGTGAACTGTTTGTTGTTGCTGTTGGCCTTATCCCCTCTCCCCCTGAGAAACCGCCAAGACGGGGAGCCTCAAATCCTAGGATCTGTAAAACTCGGGTGCTGGAACAGTCGGTTCCACCTAAGCCTTTTAATTCCATAGTTCCAGAGGCATTAGAAAGTATTAATAGTGACAAATGGCAAATTAAGGTTGCAGGCCTTAATGACATCCAACAGCTTGCAGCCACCCACCCATTATTGCTCAAACCTCATGTGAACAGCATCAGAGAAGCTGTGAATAGAGAGGTACTAAGTTTGATACCTGTTGTCTCCAAGGCTGCAATCCAATGCATGGAAAGCTTGTTCTGCCATCTTACAAGCTGTATGCTGGAAAACTTGGACCAATGTCTCATGGGACTGCTGTTAAAGGCTGGAAGACCTGGCTCTGTTTTACATCACAAAGTGGATATGGCCATTCTCAAAGCCCTGGAAAATATAACACCTGAGCGTTTGCTGTGCAATTTCCCCAGCATTGTACTCAGTAACAGAAATAATGCAGTAAGGGTATACGCGGCAAAGTTCCTACGCATCTTGGTGGAACGGGTGGGTTTGGATCAAATTCTGTTTGGCGCTTGGGACGCCCAGAAGAAAGTTCTGCCTGCCTTGGTCACTCTGGTCAAAGATAATGACCTAGATGTTAAACATCACGGATTAAAAATGCTATGTGAACTCCAAAGAAAAACTGGATTCCTTAACATCATGGAGAAATACGTGTCGCAAGCAAACATGGCAGTCGTATGTGATATCATTTCCAAAAAGCACTCCAAGAGACAAACTACAAAGCAACAAGGCATCCGCTAAGGTGAAACTGCACCATGAAAGTTTAATGATCTTAGTTTGTGTTATAAATAAAAGTTATGCTAATAGCACATTGTTATGTCTTTCTTATACTATTATCACTATGATAACTTGAGTGTGCTGGATTTTGTATGTTGTATTAATTGTTAATTATCTTGTGTTATTAATTATAATATAATCATAACCATTATAATGTATGCATGTTTATGTGAGTGCAGCCTTCTTTGTTTCATCTGCAACTAACCCCCTAACTTTTCATCACAATATAATATATCTAACCCTGCACTGAGGGAGCCCCAGAAGGAAGGATATCCCAAGTAAGTGGGTTAATCTCATTAGAGCAGGCAATCAGTTGTTAGGATAGGACCTGCCAATAATGCGGTACATTGTAGTTGTGGCAGGCTTATTCAATGCCCGGAATTCCCATTAGACAGAGTAGGCATTTGTCCTGCTTGGTTAAATCTCTCTCTTTACCCCTGCCCTGTGTCTGCTGGCTGCAGGAGTCTGAAATCACTGTATTCAATCTGAGCAGCCTGATCTGTGCATGGCCCCGCCCCCTCAGACTGGTCTGCCCTTTCACCGGGTGCAGACTATGAGTAACTGTCTCGTTAGCTCAGAAATTTACAGTGTCATCCCTCTGGTAACCCGCATCAACGCACTGAATGACCGAAGCTCGGAAGACAGCTACTTATGGTCTGCAGCCAGCAGGTGCCTGACTGCCTCCACTGCATTACAGAGGGGCACACTAAGTATGTCACATAATACTGTGATGCACAGTTACAAACAGACAGTCTCACACACACACACACACACACACACACAGTTGCAGGCAAACAGTCACACACACACACTCGGCTGCCTGTATACAGTCACACACAGGTACAGGCAGATAGTCAGACACAGGCCCGGACTGGCCATCGGACAAACCGGGCAAATGCCCAGTGGGCCATGATGGCCACGGGCCATGGCCGGCAGGAAAGATCAAGGGATTTCTCCTGCCGGACCATGCAGGGCAGCACCATCCCTAAGAGGGACCACAGTCCCTTCATGGGCCGCAGGAGAGATTCCCGGGCCATTACCTGAGTGGAAGATAATCCAGACATGAATCTACACCCCCTTATATACACTCACTACACCTCCTTATATACACCCCCTTATATACACAAACTACACCCCCTTATACACGCAAACTACACCCCATTATATACACTCACTACACCCCCTTATATACACACACTACATACTCTATACCCCTTTATATACACACAGTACACATACTCTATACCCCCTAAACATACACTACACTTCTTGCACTCACACACGTTATACCCCTTGTACACACACCACACCCCCTATGCACACACTCTTTACACACAGTACTCTATTTTCCCTATAAATACATTATCTAGCCCTATGCACACTCTACTACAATCAGTGGTGACAAGCCATGAAGCCTGGGGCACACTGGGATGGATGGACAAGGAGGCTCGCCGCACTCAGGGCTTATCCTTGATTGAGAAACTTTGGACACCTTCCACCTACCGACCCCCAATGCCTGATTTATTCCCCACCACAAAACTAATGATACAGGTATGGGACGGTATGCTTAGCACATGCAAACCCGGGAAATACTTTCTCCCAGCGGCACCCCTGATGTCCCTGACATATAATCATATCTCCCAACTACTTACTAAGGGCACCTTGACCACTTTTCTAAATCTCCAAACCCTGTATAACCTCCCCCCAAACTTTATCTTCAAGTATTTACAAATTAAAAGTTTGCTATACTCACATTTAGTTAGCATCGTAGACCCATCTTGGGCCCCACCACTTCACCTGTCACCCGATGACACCAAAAACACTCTCTTTGAGCTATAACACAATTGAAAGCACTCTACCTCCCAAAAGTTTACATTCCCCAAAAATGGGAGGAGGACTGTGTGGTTCACCTATCGGAAGAGGAAGGGATACAGTCAATAAGTGCTCTTAAAGGTGTAACTACTTGTTATCATCATATCGAGGCACACCGAAAATTGATATATCAATGGTATCTTACACCTTCTCGACTCCATAAAATCTACCCAGGTGTTCCCTTCTTTTTTTTCTGGAGATGTGGAGATGTGTAGTGGAGGACGCGATATGTTGCACATATCGTTGGCATGCGGTAAAATAAATCCACTGTGGAGGGATGTTGACAGGTTATTAACCAATATGCTGGTTCCCAAGATATCTATCAACCTCATTATATGCTTGCTGCTGTGCCAGACGGGCAGAGCTTGTTTCAACCTAGAGCCCTAAGAAGTCATGTCTCATTGGCAGTACACAACCTCTTAACTGGAAGCAGGTGACCCCATTCCTCCAGAACTTGGTTGACAGACTCAACATCAACTATAGTTTAGAACTTATGAACGCGACAACCCTGAACCAAAGGCGCAAAATTGATGAAATATGGGAACTATGGATAGAACATAAAACAGATCTTTAACAGATACGCTATAGAATGATGCTTACTGGGAGAAAAAAAAGCATATTGCAAAAAATAAATTAATTAATTTTAAAAAATAAAATAAATAAACATAATGTACCGACCCATGAGTATCACTCCCCTAATGGCCAGCCATTCTTCAATAGGATATAATCCTCTGGGGCTATGCCTTTGAACATAATAAAAAATGATATCCATAAAACATAAAAAAAATCATAGACAACATACATGAAGCCTAGAAAGCAGCCAAATGTTCAAATAAATGTATTACAATGCAGCCCCCATTTTGGTATGAGGAGTGTGGAACAGTTTATTTTAATTAACCAATCAACCATGATGGATGTTGTCAGGGAATAAAAGGTATCAATGACACATTATGCAACAATTTTTAGTAGAAACACTATTAGTTAACATGTTGTTACATTGTTATCCTAAATAACAAAGTCACAAGTCAATATATATATATATATATATAAAACATACTGTCATACAAGATCCAGCGCACTCACTCACTTAAAGGGACACTCCAGGCACCCAGACCACTTCTGCCCATTGGAGTGGTCTGGGTGCCAACTCCCACTACCCTTAACCCTGCAAGTGTAATTATTGCAGTTTTTATAAACTGTAATAATTACATTGCAGGGTTAACTTCTCCTCTAGTGGCTATATACTAGACAGCCACTAGAGGGCACTTCTGGGATTCTAGCACAGGTTTTCTGTACTATAGCGTTGCTGGACGTCCTCACGCTATGTGATGACCTCCAGCGTCGCTAAAATCCCCATAGGAAAGCATTGAAAGCATTTTCAATGCTTTCCTATGGAGAGCTCTAATGCGCATGCACATTAAGTCTCCCCAGCCAGCGGGCGGGATCAGTCTCCCCCGCCGGCTGACATGATGAAGGGGAGGAGCGGTGGCGGAGGAAGAAGCAGCGACGAGGGACATTGTCGCTGCCTTTGGTAAGTGACTGAAGGGGTTTTCACCCCTTCAGCAACCGGGGTTGGGAGGTGGGAGAGAGGGGACCTGCAGTGCCAGGAAAACGGATTGTTTTCCTGGCACTGGAGAGTCCCTTTAACAACAACTTCACAGCTCACAAAATATTATAGTTTTTATTTTAAAAAAAACACCTGACCTATATGATTTAGTTACAATATATTATTCTAAATATTTTTAAAGCGCCAATAATTTCACCATGCTGTTCGATGATCATACTTTGCATAAGTGTGCCACAACGCCAGTGTATCCAATTTTTAGATTTTATGTACACACACACACAATGTATGAGTCAAAAGCTTAATAAGACAATTTAAGTAATTTTAAGAAAAGATAACAAGGCATTCTATTTTGTGTCATTGAGCAAAGGTAATTTGAAACCGGGGATAATATTGTTTTACTAGAATTAAATGCTTCATAAATCATCATTTTCTGTTTATGTATGAGTCATGCTTTCTCTTTCTCTGCCAGGTCGGAGGAGCGATGACTGCAAGTGACTAATACTCTGCAGATAAAAGAGTCTGCTTCCTATATGTGATACAGAAAATGATAGTTCAATGTCTCTCACACACATTTATATTCATTACCACAATATACCATTGTAACATAACATTCAGTACAAGGTGGCATTCTATTGCATTATTGATTTAGTACAAGGTGGGACTTTGTAACATTGCTAATTATGGTTGCTTTTATATTCTAGTGTATATTCCATGATCTGCCTGGTGACCATAACTCCCAGTGATCTCAGGCATACTGGGAGATGTGTGGGTCAAGGCTCTATTAACTTTGGATTCCTTCCTGGTAATCCTTCCTCATTGTTACACTGGACTCTAAGTTGACTAACTGTAGCCTGGCTGGCAATCACTGGGTGAAGCTCAGGGTGTGCCAAATGTGCTCAGGCACATCTTAATTCTGTGGTGGCAGGGCTGGTGCAAGCTTTAATCTAACTTTAATCTACTCTGGCATATTCCTGGAGATCCCTGAGGAGGCACCCTGCATCTCCATGGGACAATAATTATATAAAAAGATTGCAGCAAGGGTGCTTGTGGTCTGCATTACTCTCACGCACTGGACCACTAAGTAACAGCATCACAGCAGATGGGCACCATGGAAAGAAAATACTTAATTTTACCAAATTGTTTAATGTGTGGGAAGGCTAGAAACAGCAAATAATCTCCCCACACATATACACAGCTACATCACACACAGCCACCCACACACATCATGCACAGCCCTCCAAATATACACAACACACAGTAACCTCACATTCAGCCAACACATTCAGTCACCCCACGTATTCACAACAAGCACACTGTCATCACACACATATAGACACACACACACATTTGTTGAGCTTTAGTTTGTTTGATAATTAAAAATGACTTGTAATTGAGTATTTCATAAATATTTAAGTTGTACTAAAATAGAAAAAAAAATACACACAAAAAAACAAGAGACCTCTGGGTGCACAACCCTAATGAAATGTGCTGTGAACACTTATGCAGTTGTTCTTCACAATTTACA